TGTCTTTTTGTGGCGTAAAAACTGGAACGAAACATCTGCTTGTCTCTATTTCGTGAGTACTATAACACTTAAATAATTGTATCATTGAAGTGACAGTTGAATACTTGAAATTCAAGTTTTCAAGTTTGACATATATAAGCTATTTTCTGGAGGATCAAAAGAAATTCGTGTAAAGTCTCTTTGCATTCAGCTTTCACAGCTTTTTTCTCGAACAGTTCGTACAATTTGATTTCTTTTGCCAACCACTTTTTCTCGCAGAAAATCTTTTAATAACTAAGGTCATGACAATTGTCATTATCATATTTACATGAAAATATTGACTTTCTCAAAGAAAATTGCATTTCACGATCATTAGATATAGAATCGGCAAAGCACGTACGTAGAAATTTTCAAATATATTATTGTGTTTAGTTTTCAATTGTCTGTCGAATGAGCCATCATGTAAAAACATAGGATAAATCTATAGAAATTTATCGGCGTAATACTGCAAAGTAAAGTTTTATTTACATGCGTCTGTCTTTTTGAGCCATGCATAATGTATTTATGGAACATCTTTCAAAGATCGATGAGATGCATCATCGTAGACTTTACTTTTGAACTCAATTCTTGTATATTTCGATGTTATTAGACCTTGAATACAAAATTCCAGAAACTGTAGGGTTGCGTCTCTTTAAAATTAAACATTACTCCAAAAATTACCTTGTTTTCAAGAAATATCAACAATATGATGTCTTGGACATATGGCAGTAACTTGGAATATAGTTAAATCAACAGAAATAAGTTAATGTTTTAAAACAAAGATTATTTATCAGAATCAAAACTTTCATTTCGTTATGTGATGTAAAAAGGATAGACCACAGCTGGCTATTATTATATGAGCTTTTTATTGATTGCATATTAAAGAACCATATGCATAGTCAAAATGTAGTAAAAGTATTTATGCAGGGGCTGGATATGTATCCGCTTGTTGACCAAACCATACACATGCATATCCTTTATAAACACCAGCACCCATGGCTTTCATTGATGTATTTTTGAAAGCACCTTGTTGGATTATAACATTATTATGTCCTTCACTCTTTTTCCAACTATCAACAGCAACTGTAGGATTAACTGTCATTGTTTTTCTTACATTTTGTGCATAACCAAATGAAATTTCAAAACCATTAAATTTATAATTACTTATTTCAGATGGTTTACTCCACATTAGCTGTGCTTGTGCATGATCAGGTGTATATCTAACTGGTTTCCATTTTCCCTTATTACTCTAGCTATGCATATTACCACCATTAACATCCGGATCATTTTCAATGACATCAATAGCATGTGTATGAGCAACATAAGCAAGATTAACAGATGGTTGAAGTAATGGTAAACCATTTTGTTGACGATGATTATTAATAATTGTAAATATTTCTTGTTCCGTTGCATCCATGCCATGAAATAAGGACCTTTGTTCTCCATCAACTTTTAATTAGAAGAATGCAATTTAAAAGTTATACAAGTACAGTCGTATTTAGTTCACTGAATGATTTTCTAGTATAGATGGACGCTTTTTCGAAAATACGTTAGGACTTTGTACTTACCGAGTGAGGACTTAAAAGCTAAATAAACTGAGCTGCGTGTGAGTATTACCGCAAGATTTTCTAGGTATTGATCAAGCCAACATGTTGGCGATTGCGATTCATAAGTATTTATGAATATATCGTTGCATTGGTACTGAGTGGAAAGATAAAACGTTGCTACAGTTTTTAGTGATAAGATCTACTGCTGATACTCTCGTCATCATCATCACTTATAGCCACAGTTCTTACAAAGAATATTGCTGAGTAAGAATGAGAGATGTGATTAAACTACACAGTTACACATTGTCCTTGTTGAAAGTATATTTTAAAGTAAAATGGAAAACCATCCTTTGATGTCTAGTTTAACAGACACATAAGTAGACAAGCGATCTTTTATACTCGGATGGTGATTATATTTTATTCATCTTTTCAATGCATTCATTGATCGATACCTAGATTTCAATACATCCGATTTTATATTTTAATTTTACCTGTTATAGTGTTGATTTCCAAGCCAGACAAATATTCAACATTTTTACCATTTGTTATTGATAAACAATAAAAAAGACAGACAGTTAATAAAGTTACGAAATAATGCATATTGCAATATTATCCTTGTTGGAACTAGAGGTTACTTTTACAATGATCATGCAGGCAACAAAAAAACCTTCGTTTTTATAAACTTCATTTCATGATGTAGTTTCAAGTTTCAATTCATAAATCCACAACAATTAATTGAATGTACTCAATAAGAAATAAGCATGAAGCAAATACTAATATTTCCATTATCGAGCAATAACCGAATCTCAAAGAGGATTTAAATGTTAGGCATTTTATTTTAAGAAAGCGCAAGTATGCGTGTGCATGTGGGTATATTCAAGAATTAAGCTACTAGTTCGAGCCCCCACTCATCTATCAGTCTCACCAGGAGGCTTCGGTCCTATGTCATGATTTTGAGTTACAATCGAGAAAAATCACAGATGAATGTGGGTTTAAGTTTTCTTTTCATATACATCGACATCGTTCTTCTTTGAGTTGAAAGTCTCACATTTAATTTATATTTATTAAAAAAATTATAAGAAGTATTTCTAAATGAAACTTTCCTCCTTTTAAATATCGCAAATAGATAGAGTTGATTTTGTTTTAATTCATTTTGTTTGGAACGTATTTAGGATTATTTTTTGTTTATATGTCGATCGAAAAACAAAATCGAATCGTTTTTATAATCAAACTGTATTTGTTTAATAATCGAGGAAAGAATATACCAGCATATACTCATTCAAATAATATGACAGAAAAGTTTTTTTTCAAATGTTCACTAGATGCAAAAGTTCCTTTTACAGCGTCTTCAAGTACTTTTTATGCTCAAAGTAGCTGCTTTTGGTGTTTTATGAAGGGACATAACAACAATTTACGCATTGTTTAATTAATTTTCCTCAATATTTATGTTAAAGATTTCATCTATAAAACTATTCGCTTTTGAAATCATGACAAAATAAATAAATTATTTAATAATGAAACACAAATGACTAATGAGGAAATTTTCACATGGAGCTTAAGTCCACATGCAACGGATCCATGATATTAATAAAAATATTTCTGTCTTGCCAGAAACACTTTTTTGCAGTTAACCATATGCTAACAGCATTATATGAAGATTATTCAATCAATATAGCACTAGCAATAGTCTTATGTGCAATCAAAAGACAAATATAACCATTGATTTCATAATAACAACATGTGAAAAAAAACTTACCTTCAATATCG